CAGAGCTCTGGTTCACTTAAATTGTGCTCTTCTTTCCAAACCTATGTATTAACCATTATTGGGGGGGAGGGATAAATGTTGAGTTTTCAGTGTTGACAAAAACTGAGACAGATGATATGTATAAACACAGGGACCGGAGAGGTGGCTCAGTGGTTAAGAGTACTGACTGCTCTTGCAGAGGACCCAGGTTCAATTCCCAGCACCCACATGGTGTCTAACAACCACCTGTAACTCCAGGGTATCCAATGCCCTCTTCTGACTTCCATGGGCATTGCATGACAGGGTGCACTTACATGCAGGCAATACACTTATGCACATGAATTAAAATAAAAATAATAAAATATATTTTTTAATGAGCTGGAGAGATTGCTCAGAGGTTAAGAGCACTGGCTGCTCTTACAGAGGACCTGGTTCCCAGCACCCACGTGGCAGCTAACAACTGTCCATAACTCTGCTTCCTCTGGACCTCCATGGGCATTGCACAACATGGGTGCACTTACATACATGCAGGCAATACACTCATACACATAAAATAAAAATGATAAAATATTTTTTAAATAAGGGAAGTGAATACCCACTTAAAAATCAAAAGATTCCATAACTTATGGGTTGAAGTGAGTTAATTTAGGCTTTAGAAAGGGTGATTTCTGATCCTTCAGGGAGTGGTAGGAGCCCCCAAGGGCCTACTCCTATCTCTGTTTTGACTGATAAGGGAAGAGCCCCTCCCCCCGAAGGCCGAGCAGGCTGTGATGGGCTCATGTAGATGAGAGAGAGAAGGCTAAGATAGTAGAGTGCAGAACCCAGATTTTGAAAGACTCTGAAAGGCTGAAACCAAGAAGATAAGATTTAATCAGTGTAATTGTAAAGTCTTCTATGCGACTTGTGAAAGTTCATTTGCAATACCTGTAATGATCATGGGGCTCTCATGAGCCAGCGCATATTAAGAACTACCAGTGTCTGTCCTCGCCTGACTGAATAAAGGACAATATGAAATCTCAAGTCTTTCATAAAAGACAGTCCTAAAAATTACCTCAAATTAGGCCCTCTGAGAAGCAACTAGGAGGCTTAGAGGATTTAACCTGAAGAAAAACTGAAGCCAGGTGGCAACGGGGCACCATGGCAACATTCGAGTGGCTTGTGGATGGTTCCAAAAGGTCCCATCCGTAGAAAGAGGATCAAGACATTCAATGCCAGAGAAGGAAACTGTATCTTCAGAAAGCCAGTGAGGTGGTACCCACCTGTGATCCCAGCACTGGGGAGGCTGAAGGAGGAAGATGGAGTTTGGCCAACCCTGGACTGTATAGCAAGACCCTGTTCCAAAGCAACAACAGGAGTATACTGAAGAAATCTTTGAGCCACTTTCCTACTTCCCTGTTTAGTAAGAACTGGGCTATACCCAAGAGATAAAGAGGAAGGAAGGGGGGGAGAGAGAGAGAGATAGAGAAAGAGAGAGAGAGAGAAGAGAGAGAAATGGAAACAGGTAGCTACAACAGGGTTGTAGAGGTTGACCCACTGTATATGCAGTGGTTTGTGGAAGCCCAAAATATCACAGCACCAACAACCACTGGGTGCAGGAGGGAGCACAGAGCAAACTCAGAGCCGAGGGGCAGCTGAGGGCCTGGCAGAAGCCCCATCAAGGCAAGTTCAGGAAACAGAATGGAGGTCCCAGCAGGAATCAAGTCCTGACTGGGCATCCGGAGCAGCTGGAGTCTGACTCCGTGCTGCGGTGCTCTGCAGTAAGTTTCCTCGGAAAGCGTCAAGCAGAGATGTGGCCCAGGGAGGTGCAGTGCATGTCTGTTGCTCTCCTTCCACTGAATGTGGCCTAAGCATATCCCAGCTGATGAGAGGCGCCAAAGATGAATGTCCTGTGGGGAGGTGTTGAGGGGAGGGCTTGGGCAGCCAGGGGTCCTGGAGTGTAGAGTGAACATTTAGTGTGCAGTAGCAACCAATGACTGGGATGCCCCATAACCCAACCTCAGCTCTGGGCCCCTAAATTCAAAGCACATGGTAATAGCTGTCTGAGACCCCAGGGATCAGATCCTCAATGTCATTAGGAAGCTGATTTGAAAGCCCCCATCACTGTTAAAATTTCATAACTCCAGAATTATTTTTAAAATGCACTGAGTTACTCCAGATTTTCTTCTCTCCCCATCTCACAACCCTCTCCCCGTACAAACACAGACAACACTCAGAGCCTTCTTCTCTGCCCAGATCTTTCCCTAACTGGACTCCAAACCTTCCTCTGTGCAGCTCTACCCAGTGTCCTCTCCAGCTTTGAAAAGAGACCCCTCAGCTCACCAGGCAGTTCCAGATTCCCCACCCTACAAGACCCCCTGGTCTTGTCTCACCCTGTACATCCCAGGTCTTTCCATCTCCCTGGACTCCCTACAGCCTGTCCTTCTTTCCCCCAGCACATGGCAGGGCTCTGATTTTTGCAGATTTTCTCTCCATCATCACATGGTAATGTTGCCCCTGTCCCCAAGCTCCTAGGTTCCCTAGTCCAACCCTCACAGTCTCCTACTTGGACCCTTCTAAGAAGCTGCAGGCAGAACACAATGCCCAAATTCCTGCCCATGCCTCTGAGTAAATGGCCTGGTGAATGGGAATTTATCACCCCGGCCTCGTCCACTACCACCTCTGCCCTCTTCATCCTGCCCTGACCAAGTAAAAGCTTTTAGACGACCTCAGTCACCTCTGTAATATCTTGGCCAATCCCACCCACTGGCACCATACTGGCCTCTCTAGCCAAGGAAGATCTGTTACTTCCTTTCTGAACAAGCTCATCACTCTAGTGCCTGTGGACTCTGTGTGCTTGTATGTGGTCCTCTCAGCTCTGAGTTCCCTCCAAGTTCCAGGTCAGTCCAAGCAGGGGTCAGTCTTTGTATCTCTCCAGATCAGCCCATCCTGACACACTGCTGTCCTTGGATCCCCTGCCTTAGCGCTTTGGAGCCATGTCTGCTCCTTGTACGCCTAGGGATCTGAATCCCACCCCACTCCAGCGTGAAGGACCTTGAGGAGAGCAGGGAAAGCATTTCAGCCATGGTGTCGGCCATGCTTTCTCACTCACTGGCGAGTGTATTCGGTACCCACTGTCCCATGTCTCTAAAATGAACATAGTCATGCTAAAGGGACTTGTGTCTGTCCTCTTGCGATAACACACATGATACGGGTCCTTAGACCTGTTTCAGGTTGGCCCAGTCTTCTTCAAAGCCCTCCAAACAACTGTGTTAAAAACCAGAGCTTCTCAGTTTAGTCCAAAGGAGTTTGTAGAAAGGTAGATTTCCAGTAATACTACTTCTCTCAAAATTTCAGAGACATGGAAGCAGGACAGGACAGCTCAGACAGATGGGAAGACATCTGTCTTGGATGATGGGTAGAGGGCAGGGTTGGCTGACATGGCTTTGGCCCCCAACCCTGAAGGGGATCTTAGCCCAGGAAAGAGAATTGTCAGCTGAGACATGGACACTTGGGAATTCTGTGCTTCCTGCTAGGGTCTGTAACATATAAATGTGAAAAGATCCCAAAGGGTAGTTGATGGTCAACCAGGAACAAAGACACCGTGGGGAGCGAGCAGACGATGTGTGGGCATTTCACTGATGTTCCCGGTGTGAGCTGAAGTTGTGTTTACCCTTCAGCTCAAATTTTGTCCCCCTTGTTAACATAGTGTACTAGCAACTGTTGGTTGTTATGTGGAACTAATGAGCCCCAAGCTTCTGGTATTTTATATATATATTTACTTTGTAAGTGTTAAATCATTGAGGAAGAAAAGAACTCTGTGCTATTTACTTCATCCTTGCCGACAAATAGAAAGACACGAACTGGGCGATTAAATGCTATTTTGCTTCCTGTGCTTCTCCATGTGGGTGGACTGGATGGGACCTGTTTCAGCTCCCAGACTGAACCCATCTGTGCAGAAAGCTGGGGACCCATGGCAGGGCTTCCAAAGGGAACTGGTGTAGCCGGCTGGCTTGAAGAACAAGCTCTAGGTTATTGGGGCCAGGTGCCAGAGGGTTGTTCTGAGATTGTCCACCTCTCTCAGCAGTAGAATGAAATATACTTGCAAATCTCAGCCCCCATAGAGGTAGAAATGCCCCCTACTCCCCACATATGTGCTTCAGTGTGGAGCTGTTCACTGTCAGCCAAATCCATTGCTAGAATGTTCTCTTCCTTAAACAGGTATCTAACATCAGGTCTTAGGAGAGAGCAATGAAAGAGGAGAAAAAGAAAGTTTTTGTGTTCTAAGAAAATAAACCTTCACTTTTGCCCAACTGAAATGTGTAGGAAACCTAAATTATATTTCAAGGGCAGTGAGGATTCCCAGTGTTACCAAATAAGCAGATCTGGCCTACAGTATTTTGAGACAGAATTTTTTTGTGTGTCAGGAATGATAACCAGGTCTTGGTAAACATTGTCCCTGGTGTGGGGTGGGTGGGGGTGCAATAAAATTTTATTTATGAGTTTGAAATAAAGCATCTAAATTTATAAATTCAGTGGCCAACTGAGGGAGGCCAACTGAGAGCTGTGTACTAAAGCCATTTTAAAGGGAGCGTCCCTGGTTTACACCCTTGAACTCTGATCTTTGGGCCGTGAAAAGAGTAGGTTTATACAACATAAATGACTTTAGTTCAGAATGTTAATTTTCTGACTACTGAAAATAAAACTTGGTTTTCTAGAAGTGATAAATAAATAGACTGCAATAAAAACTTTAATAGATGTCTGGGATTTTATGGCCACAGGATAGTTATGGTATCTTTCTATTATAAATAAAAGGCATAAAAGCATCCCATGTAGAAGAGATACAGAACCCAGAAAAACCATCAGTCCTTAGCTGTGATCATGGTGGACAATTACTTTTAAAATTGGGTTGTCATCCGACTGGAGATTATTTGTCATAACTGCCCGAATGAATTGACTTCTAAGTGAATGTTAAGGAGTTATTATTCATCTTGTGTTAGCTGTGAGTTACTTGTCTTATACTAATACCTGCTTTCTTTCCCCAGATGCAAAGAGTCTAGCTGAAATGCTTATGAGGTAAGAACATGATCTTGCTCCCCAGGTATCACCCCTAAAGGAATGGTTCTCATTGCCTTGATTTTTAATGATAATGATAGTACTATTATAAAGTTGGTGAAATGTTTTCATTTCAACATTTAATTACCATTTATATCCCAAAACATCCACGTCATTCATAGTTGGATATGTACAAATAACATATCTTGGTCCATGACATAGCTGGCTGTCCTGTGGGCTGGATTCAGACTGTAGAATGCTTCCCCCCGTGGAGCAGGGGACAGAGACATGTTGGAGAGACTTAGTTCTGCCCCCACACAGGTAGACTACCTCTATGGTCAAACTTTCTTTTTTTAATATTTATTTTTATTTTATGTGTATGAGTGTATTGCCTGCATGTATGTAAGTGCACCTATGCCATGCAGTGTCCACGGAGATCAGAAGAGGGCACAGGATTTCCCTGGAACTGGAGTCACAGATAGTTGTGACCTGCCACGTGGATGCTGGGAATTGAACCCGGGTCCTCTGCAAGAGCAACCAGTGCTCTTAACCAAGTCATCTCCCTAGCCCCATCAAGCCTGCTTTCTAACAGAGTTATCCAAGTTCAAGGAAAGCCACTAAAGGAAATGTGCTCTTCAAAGGTCCTGGGTGGGCTGGGGCAGACGCTTGCCCTGGCTTCCCTGGTCCCTTCTGCACCTTTCCACTAGTGCAGGGCCAGGATGTCGTCACCTGTTATCACTGGGACTATGCTCTGTGACTTCCCGAGTCATAATCAATCGTTGGGTAGATATGATGAATGGAGGTTCCTGGAGGGGAAAGGGTGTTCACACTGTCAGACAAAGCTGTCTCCATCCCAGCTGTACATGTAAACACCCATGGGGCTTGTCTAATGATGCGAACAGAAGAGTGTGTCCCTTCCATGTCCCCAGACGCTATCCCTGCCCCCCATAGCCCCTCTCCTTCGAACAGTTAATACTCTTACACTTTCTGACTGCCTCACTCTATATAAATTGGAGCAGTTGTACATGTACAATGACCAGATAACATGTTATCTCTTGCCTAGCACTTGTATTTTTAAGTCTTTTTATTATATAATGATCAAGTAAGAGGTGAAAAAGGAAAATCAGCATCTAGAAAATTAGAAGATAAAACATCAGGGCCCCTGGTAGTGAACTTGGGGTTGCCTTTCTATGTTGCCATGTTTGCGAAAAAGGCTGGGGTGTAGGGGTCTTGTCACCCCACCTCCACAGCAGGTGGTTTTCTCTTCCTCCCCATCTATCCATGCAAAGTGAGCAACACATTATTCATGAAAACGTGTGCCCTATATGACCAGTGTCTTTAGAGACAGGGGCAGAGACAGAGGCATGATTGGTGTGCATGTTACGTTTCTCACAGCAACCTTTGGAGATGCTGTGTTTTTAAATGAGTCATGGTTGAGATGGTTGATATGCAAGAATCAAGGGTAACTCTGAAATATCTGCTGACAGCAATTAGAGGAATGCTGATGTCATTTGCTAGTGATGCGAAAACAGAGGCAGGGTACAGACATTTTGATGTTTTAAAAGCTGGGGCTGGGAGGGGGTATTGATCAGAACACAGAGACCTGTGTTGGTCCTGCTGCATTTGAAGTTCTTTTCACACAACAGTGAAGTTGTTCAGTAGACAGATGGTTACAGGGATCTGGACTTGGAGAAGCAGCAAACAAATCCAGGAGCCCACAAAATATCTTCTTCTGATAAAATTACAAAGGATCAGATTTATGTGAGAGATTACATAAATCTGCATAAAATCCCACAAGGCCCTGCTCTTCTAGAAGTCCACACTTGTTTGCTAAGCAAGTAAGAGGCACATTTTGTGGTGTCATATGTTAAATTCAGACTCTTCCATTTTTGGCAGATCTGATGAAACATCTGGAAAGTAAAGAAACGAGAGCCACTTGACTAATTTACATCGTAAAACAAATTTTATAATGCAGACTTGAAAACTGTGAATTAATTGGCATTTAAAATAAGATTTCCTATACAGTTTGATTTTCCTGGCTGTTCATCAAAATGGTCTACCATGTAAGCAACAGCCCCGGTGATACAGAGCCTGGAGCTCTGTGTGGTGCCCTCTAGACAGGTGTGGCTGTCGCTCACCTCACCATCCCATGCTCAGACCACCTTGTTGATCTGACCCTGAGTAGAGGTTCTTCAAGCAGGTGGATTTTGTGGAATTCAGTTGGAAGGAAAGGCAGTTAAGTGTCAGCATGCAGGGTCAGTGCAATCTCAGGTGGACAGCTTTCCTGGCTGGGCAAACACAAACAGAGTGATTTAGGACCACTGTATTTTGGATGTGGCCCAGTAGGACTAAGCCTGTCATATCCATCAGTAAAGAGTGAAAATCCACTCAATTTCCATCCCTGATCTGGCCCACTGTTTTCCCTGAATAGTCAAGGACTTAGCAGCCGTGGCCATGAGGAGTGGAGCTGCCAGCCCATGCTCAGGCTCTGTGGCCAGCAGCTGGCTTTCTAATCTTGGGCACATCATTGACCACCCTGCTTGGCTTTCCTCATCTAAACAGGTTCAAAATTATCCCTGGCGTTAGCATTTGTGTTTGAAGCATGTTCCATAAAGTACTTGTGTTATTTCAGCAGGATCAGCTGTCCCAGGCTGGAAAGGTATATGTGACCTGACCTAGGACAGGCACACATCCAGACCCTCCAGTGGTCCATCACTCAAACTGAACATTGAAATTAGCTTAGATCTTTTAAGCTCATATCTCTATTCATAGAATTTCAAAATGCTCATCCAGACATCAGAATAGGATATGTTCCTGTCTCTAGTTACTTTATGCTTTACAGAAGTTCGGTCATCTCTAGGGCAACTGTATGCACACGCATGAAGACACACAGAGACACACACACAGAGACAGACATACACACACACACATAGACCACACACATATAAACATATACAGAGATACACACAGACATATACAAAGATACACACATAGACACACACAGTGATACACACAGACAGACATAGGCACACAGACAGACACACACATATAGGCCACACACACATAGACCACACAGACAGACAGACAGACAGACACACACACACACAGAGAGATATATAGACACACAGACAAATGCATGCATCTTTAAGGAACTAGGAAGATTAGTGATTACAATTAATTGGCTGACTGACCTGAGAAATACTGTACCCCATAAACTGCTCTCAGCATCCCTGTTACTGTCATTTTAATCAAACAGCCAGATGTCAGATGGCTGGTCAGAAATGGTATTTCAATAATAACTAATACATTCAGCTGGATCCTGCACTGCATAATTTTATGCTGTCATTTTATAGTGCACAAATTCAGAATCTTCTAGGTTGCAAATAAGGTTTCTTCAAATTACATTTTTAAAGGTTCGCAGAGGTTATCATAGTCAATCGTTATGATTTTTGAGGATCATCCTTCCAATATTAAACACAAACAACCAACTACAGCATCAAATATTAATATAGGGAAACTTCTTAGTTGGAACCTAGCATTTTAGGACAGGGAGGTTATCAGCCCAAGCAAAGCCTTTGGGACCCTGTGGCTCAGCTCACATTCCCCAAAACTACATAGTTTGTTTAGTACACGGTAACTGAGTACTTCCTTTGACCAACTGCTGTTCAAGGTTCTGGGGACATGTAAAGCCTAGAGCGGAAGAGTATGTCCCTTGTGGAGTGTAGATTCCAGTGGGAGAGACACATAATGAATAAGATAAACCAATTACATATATTTAATTGATTCAGTTAAATATATGCTGGAGAGTAGTAAGGGCCAAGGGAACAAAATTAAGTCAGTTATGGGGATAGGACTCGGGAGGAGCTCCCCTTGCAGAGCCAACCCTGCCCACTGAAAAGATGGCTTCTAGGCAAACATCCGGAGAAGGGTGGTCACCAGCCACAGGGGTGTTGTGGGGATTGGGGGGAGGGGGTTCACACCATGCAAGGAGGACAGGGTGTACATGGGCAGAAGCGTCAGTAAGCCCCTGAATCCCAAGGGTCATTGGACCATGTTCCTGCCTTCCCACTGTGGGGCCTTGGTAGCCCCTTCTTTGGGGATGAAGGTCTCTACCTCCAGCCCTGACAGTCCTGGATCATAGGTGTAATCATATTCCGTCTCAATGCCAGAAGCACTTCACAGCAGTCATTTAACTTGCTTCCTGTGCCCCTGTGGCAGAGGACTCCCTATTGGTGTTTAAGTATAGCCTGCGCTGGGCACTCACAGCTTGTAAGAGCAGTGGCTGTCTGCCTCGTAACGATTCATGATGAGGAGAACGCACAAGCTCACATTTCTATTTTTGATACAAGGACACACTCAAGTCCTCCGTGAAGTTTCTAAACAGATCTCTTGGATATTCACAGAGGTCTAGTTCTCCATATGTTCCTGTGGAAATACAGTACGTTGAAGTATGTCATGCATGCCATGCCCCACGATTCCCAAATGCTCCTTGTTTTAGGAAAGCGTCTGAATCTCTGCACATTTTACCCCTTTTCTTTTTTCAACTCACAAGTGCAATGGGTGTTAGTTAAGCAATTTGAAAGAGTGTAGAGACCGTGTGAAAAACCAGGCCAAAAGGTTCGAACAAGGCCGTGTATAATTGGCATGATCTAGGTATATAACCCAGTTACGCATCTGTAGAGCAAGGAATCGGGTTCAAGATCAAGTTCTCAGAGAAGCTGTACACTTGATGGTAGCTGCCTTGCTCATGGAATGCTTTGTTTACACTCAGATGAAGAAAGAGGCATCGTAACATCTGGTTCTAAGCTGGGCTTGGGCAGCCAGTACCTGGGGCTCTCTAGTGGACTTGCCCTTGTGACTGTCAGCTGCCATCAGCCTTTTGGTTTCGGAGGGAGTGAGGAAGGATCTAAGGAAACAGCCCTGAGATTTGCTTTCTTGAAGGGAAAAGCATTTGAGATGCACTGTGCAGACCTTTCTCACTCTCTCTTGAAAGTAACTAGCACACGAGGCTGGAGAGATAATAGGTCAGTGAGCAAAGTATTTACCACACAAGCATGAGGACCTGGGTTTGGATGCCCAGCATCCCTATAAAAAGTCAGGCATGGTTGTGAGGATCCCTGGGGCCTAGTTGGCTAGCCAGTCTAGTAGGAAGGGCTACTTCCAGGTTCAGTCTCAAAGACTAGGATGGAGAGTGAGTGGGGAAGACATTCAGCATGCAAGCATAGGCAGGTCTACCTGCACACACATGTGCACACAGAGACATACACCACACACAACAAGAGAAAGCAAGGAAGGAGGGAGAGAGGGAGGGAAGGGGGAGGGTGTGGGGGAAGAGAGACAGAAAGAAACCAGCACAAAGGCATGCCACTGTCAGATGAATAAGTCTCCAGAAGTCAGTCTCCAAAAGAGATTTTAAAGAGTATGTAGCTGGACCCAGGAATGCCACAGATACTCTCATTGAGGAGTTATCCCAGTGCCTACCACCTGCTATGGGGTGCTTCAGAAAACAGTATTTTAACATCTAGTAAATTCTTAAGAATCTGTAAAGACTGAACAGCCATCCCCCTAAAGTGGGTTGCTAATTAAGTCCCCCACCGGCTTCTTTAGATCTCCATTTGGCATGAAGGTTTTACTTTTTACTGCGGGCTGTAACTGGCTCTCATTATAACAGGCTGTTTTACCACTTATTTTCATTTACTTTTAGAGAACTCTCAGAGTAATTTTCTGGTACACAAATTTTGAGATAAAATTATTATAGTGATTGGTTTTTTTCCCCTTTCCTAGTCCAAAATACATGATCCACTGGGGGAATGGCAGCGGTGTCAGGGACACTAACAAGACTTGTGCTTTGCTGCTAGAACAGAAGTAGAAGAATTCTAGTTAGAAATACAGATCTGTTGTCGGTAAAGCCGCCGCCCGCCTGGCGCCCAGCAGCCTCACTCTCGTCCTCCCCTCTGGACATTTGAACAGCTCCTGTCTCACAAATGAAAATGTTACTGTTAATGTCCTGGCTCATTTGTTTTAGTTCATTTCTCCCCAAGGCACGGGACTTTCCTAAAGGTTCTATTAATTGTTATTGAACACTTTGATTGGGAAATTGTGTTTTCTGACTCTCCTTTGTCTACTGGGATTTAATATTAATAGGAAGAAAAAGCATTTCTGTCTTGTACCGTTTCCTTCTTTCAAGTCGTTTGCAGAATTAAACAGTAAACCACAGCAGTATCCAGACACATGTTGGTATACCGTATGGAACACTGAGCTGGACTGGTTCATGTGTGTTCTCTTTTATTCTCAGTAAGAATACAAGGACGTCGGATACTTTAAGCAAGCAGCAGCAGACTCTGAGAATGCACATTGACATCCCGAGGGCTCAGCTTTTGATTGAAGAGAGAGACACGATGGAGACAATAGGTGAGGTGACGCTCGTCACGTTCTACAGAGTGCCCGCTACTCAGGCACGTTATACAGAGTGCCCGCTACTCAGGCACGTTATACAGAGTGCCCGCTACTCAGGCACGTTATACAGAGTGCCCGCTACTCAGGCTTTCCAACCCGAGCCCAGCCACACAGGAAGTACATAGGAGAATGTCCTGGATGCGCCTATCTTGGAAGTTCATGTCAACTCAAATAAGATCAGCATTGTTAAATAACCCTCAACTTGTGCTTAACACCAAAAAAACAAATTCCTCTACACAAGCTGTCTCTGCATTTCCTAGCATCCCTTAATATCCCGGACTGAGGGAAACACCCACCCCCTTCAGTTTTAGAGGAGCTATAAAAGAGGACAGGGACTGTGGCTTAACCACCCCAAACCTCAGGACCTTGACCAGCCTCCTTCCACTTGGTAGCAATCAGATCCCTAACATCACTGAGAACTCTCTAAATGCCATACGCTATATTATAAGGACTATGTGTGTGTTATTCACTCCAGCCTTCTACCAGTACATAGAAAAGGTACTGCTTTGGAGACTGGGGAGGTGGCTCAGCGGTTGAGAGTACTGACTGCTCTTGCAGAGGACCCAGGTTCAGTTCCCACATGGTGGTTAACAATCATCCATAACTCCTGTTCCAGGGAAATCCAAAGCCCTCCTCTGACCTCCAAGGGCATTGTACAACACGGGTGCACTTACATACATGCAAGCAACACAGTCATACAAATAAAAAATAAATACATAAAACCTTAAAAAAGGAAAGAAAAGGATTGCTTTTTACAACTGGGTATAGAGACATTGACATGGTTAGGCAAGGTCACCAGGCAGGAACAAAACCAGGGTTTCTGGCTCGCCACCTGCTTCACCACCATGCCATCTGCCTCCAGGGATAGGCTGTTGCCACCTGCTCTCCTACCAACAGGCTTCTTCCATACCCCCTACACCCTGAGACAGAGGTTTCCCAGACCTTGAAAACAGTGTCTTAGTAGCCACCAAGGCTGCTGCTTTGTGGACTGAATGTATGGAAAGCCTTTCTCTGCCACTCATTACCAGGGCATTCCCTCCTGGATACAGATGCTTGTGTATAGTTTAGTCCTCCCAGAGTATTTCCCTGAGTACTTCCTGCTGGGAAGGGCTGCTAGAGTTGCCCAGTGGAGGAAGGCCACCTGTATCCTCCTCAGTCACCTCTCCTGTGTCCCCACCAGAAGGTGGAGCCATCTTGACTAATGGCTCTGAAATGCTAGGTCCTGGGCTGCCCTCCCTACCATTGGCACTTGGTCTGGGCATAGCTGTATGTAGAGAAAGGATGGCCAAGTCCAATCTAGCTCCCCATCAACTGACTTCCATTAAATGCCCATTACACTTGTTACATAGGAGGCTCTGCTTGCCCTAAAGTGCAAGAAGGGGTATTCAGTTCTCTCAGTGAGGATATGAGCTTTGGTTTTGATTTTCTTTCTTTTACCAGGGAGGAACTTAGATTGTCTTTTACTGATCTCCACACATTGGGCATTAAACCCCAAATCTCTTTTGCAATATCAGTTCATAAAGCCAAGTGTCGTGAATGCCTTAGAACATGCACTTCTCCAAGCGCATCTGCATTTAATTTAACACTCCGAACCCTCATGATACAGACATGTAACTTTGGAAACTAGACTACAAAGAGGCTAGATAGTTCAGCAAGGTCACCACAGTCATGCAATACCATTAGGAAATTCACTAAGGTTCCCTATTAGACCTATTTATAATCCTGCACCTGGCTGTTAGAAAACAGCCAGATGCTGGGTATGGTTGTGTGTGCCTTAATCCCAGCCCTCGGGAGGCAGAGGCAGGTAGATCTCGAAGGCCACCCTGGTTCACATCCTGACTTCCAAGAGGGCTGTGACTAGGGAGACCCTGTTTTAAAAAAAAACAATCAACAAGAAGCCAAAAAAGAAAAGACAGCCAGGTAGAACCTGTCAGCAGTGTGTGGCTTCCCTGAGCTGGATGTTGCTGGATGAACACCAGACAGTCTGCCAGTCATCTCTGTGTGTCACCATGGTCTGTGGTCAGAGATCCATCACAGTCCGCCCAGCATCATCTGTCACCAGATGTCATTTTCCTCCTGGTGATTCCCAACAGTGGGTCAAAGGCACTTTGTAATTATTGGGAAAAGTTCTGGGCTGTAGCTGTAAGAGCTGAATATTAAACCACCATCAATTTCTGTCCAGAATGAACAGCTAACCTCATAATCAGACAGGCACCTGACATTTCCCAGTAAAGCTTCATAACCCAGCCATGACGCTGATATGTGATCTTAGAACAGGACTGCCCACCAGAATCTATACCACACTGTGTTATAAATGACAAACCAGTATAGACAGGGGGCCTCTGGTGCCAGCTCCAATTGTAAGATCCCCATCTCTGGGGGCTGGAGAGATGACTCAGCAGTTAAGAGCACTGACTGCTCTGCAGAGGACCCGGGTTCAATTCCCAGCACCCACATGGTGGCTACAAACCGTCCTTAACTCCAGTTCCAGGGGAATCCAAAGTCCTCCTCTGACCTCTGTGGCAATGCTCAACACAGGTGCACTCACATACATGCAGGCAATACACTCATACACATAAAACAAAAATAATAAATAAAATATATTTTTTAAAAAAGATCCCCATCTCTGTGTAAAAGCCTTCTTCTCTGAGGGGGGGGGGTCTAGTGACAGATGCCAGGCCAAGCCTCCAGGCCAAGCCCTAGCACCAGCCCTGTGCTGTACCACCCGCAGGGATACTCTCAGACAGCTTGGCAAGCCTTCCCCCCAGTTCTCTGCCAGGAAATTTGATTCTGACTTCTAGAGGCTTTTCCTCCCCTGCCAGAGCCTGAGTAACTGGGCTTTGTAAGCTTCGCTCTGTTCAGAGCCTTTTTTGGGCACAGCAGCCTCTCTGTGTTGTTTATGACATTCAAATCACTGCCCCAGTGTCAGAAACGCTGAGGCGGGTCCTTCCTAGCTGACTGATAGCCTGAACTGAAGGCCTTAAGAGTGTATAGAAAATCTATATTTCCTAACCAAAGTCTCCCTGGCAATCAGAGCTCAAAAGAATATCACATCAGAATTGCATGTCCTCAGACAAAGACACATCTCACACAGTCGCTCCTTACGCAGAGCCCTAAAATGGATCGAATGCTCCTGATCCCTGGCCCCTGCCTCCCCAGCCTCCCAGAGCCTACATACACCCTTAAGACTCTGGAACCTCTGACATGTGAGTCATCTTGAAGTCAATCAAAGCATGCACTACAGAGTAAAGCTCAGAACTGGTAGGAAGTAAAGGATCAGCCACCCTTTAACAGACAGACATCAACAAGTGCAGGAGACCAGCTCTCCTCTCCTTTTCCGCTCAAGCAGTGGCTGGTCAGTGTGACGGCCAACTTCAGTGCGGAAACTACAAGGGCGTCTCCTTAGCAGTGCAAAAAGAGCATTGCATCAGCAAAGGGGGCCTTCCCTGCCCAGCAGCCCTGTTACTGGGTGTGCTGGCCTCACGTACCATGTCTCAAGTGAGCTTTGGGCAAACACATACCCCAAACTATGCTAAGTGGGCAGCTACAATAGTGAATGGTGACTGTGCCGTAAAAGCTAAGCCCAATAAGAAAGAAAGAGTGCTTGGCTTGGCGTGTCCCTACTTTTCTGTACCAAAGCCAACCCATAAGCATAAATGTCCACGTGACTCTCTAAACCAATGCTGTCAGTGCTGGAAATCCTTCCCATCATTACTGAGTACTCTTGGCCTTCTGTGTGCCCACTTGTAGATGACCGTTCCACAGTCCTGCTGACAGATGCTGACTTCGGGGAGGCAGCTAAACAGAAATCTCTGACGGTGACTCACACGGTGCATTACCAGTCGGTGTCTCAGGCCACCGGGCCCCTGGTGGACGTGTCAGATGCTCGGCCGGGAACCAGTGAGTAGTCAACAGCACTTAGAATGTGTTAAGGATGCCGACAGCATTAACGCTGTCTCCAGCGAATGAACGCGTGGGGGCTTCTCCGCTGTTCACCTGAGAAACGGGCGCAATAACATTTTTAATTGGGATATTGAGATTTATGTTGTTTCATGCAGTTAGATGGGTATCAATTCAAAAGTATGGAAAATCCTAGAAATTTCAGCTCAATTTAACCTTTTGAAAATTAGACAGCACAGGAAGAGAGATGGGTATTTAACCTTAGTGTGTGTTTCTACTGTGTCCCAATTTGGGGAAAATCAATGGCACATGTGTTACCTACTCATAAAGTAGATGCAGGAGTCCTCGCTTTATATATTAGAACATGGAGTCTCAGAGAAATCAGGCCGACAGGCCAAAGTGGTACAGGAAGTAGGAAACCAGGACCCAGCTGTAGGGATATCGTCCTCAAAGCTTCCATTCTTCTCCTAAACACACTGAGAAAAATGATAGTTCTGGCTATTCAGCGATGAGGTTGTGCTTAATTATTTATATTTGCATCCATAATAGATGGAAATTAATTACTGCAGAGAAGTTAAATCCCCTAATGTGTATCTAGAGCTCATTAATTAGATATTCTTGTTTCTTCATAATTGAAACTATTCTTAAATCTCTTTAAAGACTTAGAAATTGATGTTCCAATTATTGTCATTTTGGAAGCTTTGATGTCTAGCTTTTAAATCTCTAATCACTCTCTTTGCAAAACTTATACTTCCAAAATGGCATATTATCAGGAGAAAATTACACGCTGTAACACTGAAAGCCATGGTCTGTAATGCTAGTTTGCATGACGCGGTGAGCTTCGTGAAGTAACTGGACATTTCCTGAATCATTTGGAACGCACAGGAAGACGTTGCAAACGACATTGAAGGCTATTTTAACAGTGGCTTTGACAACGCTGAAGAGGTGTTTTGTTCGTTCCTGTGCCTAAGATCCTTCTGAGGATGTTGGTGCGTTCGTGTGGTGGTTACTTTTCTGAGGCTGTGACAAAACACCATGACCAAGGCGACTTACAGAAGGGTTTATGGGACTTACAATTCCATAGGAATGAGTCCATCGTGGTGGGGAGGCGTGGTGGCAGGAGGCAGCCGGACAGGAAGCAGGGAGAGAGAAATGGGAAGTGGGCTGGGCCTGTCCTGGTGATGCTTCCCCCAGCAAGGCCGCACTTCCCAAACCTCACAAATAGTGCCACCAGGTGGGGCCAAGGGCTCAGACACTTGGAGCCGCTGAGGGGCCTTATTCAAACCACTGCAGTTCAGACGATGTGAGCAGGATGTGAGTGACCTAGCCCTGCTGAGGGTGTGTCTACAAACCAAGAAGCTTGCTCCTAAGAATGCTCCCAGGCCCGTGACGTCTCTCCAGTGGCTTCACCACTTCGGTCTGAGGTCTGGCTCTAGCCTCTTCAGGACAGCATCTTCTTAGGTGTCTAGGCCCCTTTTTGCTCTTAAATCAGGGAAAAGCTGACAGATCTTAAAGGGACTGAACTTCTACAATGGTGCATCTTTGACCTTAGCATTTATTTCCTGCAGTTATTATAGAAGTTTCTAGAAACAGCAATGGAGGACCAAGAAACAAACAGAAAATAGGTCAGGTGCCCTAGATGGTGTTTCCGTTCACGTACGATAGAACTACTTGGGGGCCTATGTGAGATACTGAATCCAGGGCCATCGATGTAGCTCAGTGTAGAGCATTTGCCTAGCATTGACAAGGCCTCACGATTTTCCGTGTCCCTGCAAACCAAAGGAAGTGAACACTGAATCCAGGCTCCCTCCACCCTACAGATTCTGGTCTAGTTGCTTTAAGAGGGGATCCCAGGAATCTGTGGCTATTATAGCCCCCGAGTGAATCAGATGTGGTTGTCTGGACCCCTCTCTGAGAAGCGCCTTCCCAGTGCTCCAGTGATGTCCCGGAGAACTCAGGAGGAAGTGGTCACATGAGTGTAGCAGGACAGGATTCCTCCAGCTTGTCACACTCACAGTACGTTGGTTCCTTCTGCTGGGTAAGAGCAATATGGATTCTTACCTTCCCCTTTAGTATTCAAGGTGCAAAGAAACACATAAGGGCTAGTCATAAGTAGTTAAGGCAAGAGAAGAGACAGTGACAGGAATGTGCTGGAACCTTCTAGCTGCATGAAGTATAAGTAAGCCCTGGAATATTGGGAAGTGGTTTTGATAGCATTTAAAGCATCAACAGAGAGGGGACTGAGTCACATGCAGTCACTGTAAACCAGGGCACAAGCAGCAGGCAGGTAGGGTCTCCCAGGAGGCATGCGCATGGCGTCTTGTGGCTATGAAGTTGTTAAGCATTGTGGAAGAAACTGTAGAATTCATTCATTTGGCATTTGGAAATATTTATTCAGATTTTACTTTATGTATATGGCTCAGTGCTCAGGGATGGGGCTGCACCAACCGAGAGCACAAATAAAGAAAGCCATGTATTTTATTCTGCTGGAGAAGGCAGACATTCAGTAAGGAATAGTGTTCTTTCTCTGTAAATGCTAGATAAAGTGGGGCGTGGTGGCACATACCTTTAATCTCAGTACTTGGGGGGCAGAGGCAGGAGGATCCCTGTGAGATTGAGGCCAGCCTGGTCTACATAGTGAGTTCTAGCTGGGGCTACAGGGAGAACCTATCTTAATAAAACAACTCCACAAAGGACCAAAAAAAAGAGGGAGGGAGAGGGGGAGAGGGAGGGGGGAGAGGGAGAGAGGGAGGGAGGGAAGGAAGGAAGGAAGGAAATGGTATGGCACAGAGCTGGCTAGAGCTGGTAGGAAGATCTCCCTGGAGGAAACATGAACCGAGGTCAGAGGCAAACCTGGAACTGTCACCAAATAACAGGAAAGGGAATGGGAAGCAGCCCAGACTCTGCAGCATGCTGGGTAGATGTAGCCCTGGGGGGCTGTGAGCTGTTAGGGGAGAAGTAAGAGAATATGAGACAGAAGCAGCTGTTCTGGGCTGTACAGCTGCCCGGCCAGGCCACGCATTGGCATTTCTTTCTGAGCATGCTGGGATGCAGTCCCAGGATTCAGCCTGACGTCACATAGAAACACTGTAGCTTAAGAATAACGTTTCTTTCCTTTTCCGTGGACTGCATTAAACCACGCTTGCTAACAGCAGGCAAAGCTATCCAAATTCATGCGTCATTCTCTAGTTCCCTCCTCCTGTCCTTAGAGCTGATCATCATCATCGTAAACTATTGAAGATGTTTGGGATCATTTTTCCCATTAAATATTCTCCCAAACTCCGAATGCAGACCAATAGCATTCCCACGTCCATTTAAAATTGAGAACAGCAGTGGCCAGCCCCACAGAAAGTTCAGAGGCTTGACAGCCAGGAACTTTCCAAAGCCCAGTTCCCTGCTTGTCTTTGCTCCCAGAGCTTGCCACCACTGACCAGATGTTACACCGGTATTAACACGGCCCTGTGATCCTGTGACATAAGCTGTACTCACTACAGCATGGCATGATTGAAGAGATTCATTTGTGCAATCAGTGTTCTGTACCCAGGGGTTCTGCAGAAATGGATGCAACCAAAAGCAAATCAAAACTCTTCACAGATACAAATCCCACCTGTATCAAACAAGAATATGGGTTCTTGCCATGGTCCCCTAAGGAACTAGTTCTATGGCATTTGTATGCATTAGATATTAAAAATCTATGATTTGAAGCCATTGGAGAAAACAGCAGGTTCTATGCAAACACTGTGTCATTTTGTCGAAGGGACTTGAGCATCTACCCATCTGGGTATCCAAGGGAGTTCCTGGGCCCGTGTCCATGGATGCCAAGGTATCTACAGTGTAAATGGCTGCATCTCCTATTGCCTCAAACACAAAAGACATTATGATTCTGTCCTCTGTTAGTATTATGCTACTATTGCAGAAATTCTTTATTAAAAGAACATCAAAACATCTATTGTTTAGACACTAGTATGATTGCAATACAGAATTTATGTTTCTAAATATTTTATTAGCTTGCCTGAGAGCTGTAGCGAATTCTTATCATGAGGATGGGGAAATGAAAATGATGTGCTGTCCGTTCCTTCCAGTGTGTGGAAACACACCCTTTGGTTGTGCTCTCTGTTCATTTACTCCCCTGTCTCTTCCATGAACTGCTGTATTCTTGAAGCCAGGGCTGTACTCGTATCTTGGTCTCAGCACCTACCATGTCATCTGAGATACCACCACACTTAATCAAAACCTTTAAGTACTGATTGACTATCAAGTTCTGAAATCAGAAAAATAGGAGTGGGAAAAGGGATGTTTGGTCGCCTAGGCAGACCTGGGAAGTCAGTTTAGTGCCCCCTCTTTCTCATCCATCTCCTGAGATGTCTGTTCCGCAGGTGTATGTCCTCACCTCACAGCAAGTGTCTCCTTTAAACTCTGCACATCCTTTCCTGCCAGGCCAGGGATAGAGATATGCCAGTAAGTTCATCACTTAGGGGAATTCAAGGCAATTTTTCTACTTGCCAAGTATACAAGCCAGGAAGACATGTGATCAGTATCAGTCTTAAGATTTGGGGAGGGGGGAAGAGGGCATCGTATTTACCTGGGAGTCACTTACTCATGCTTTCATGTGCTCATTCGTGTAGAGAGTATCTGCTAATACAGTCGATACTTGATGTCTGTGGGTTCTAGGGTACCTAGAATACTAAACTCCATGGACGTTCAAATCCCTTACGTAAATCGCACTAGGATTTCCATATACCATGTACTGTCCTCCTGTATACTTTGGATCATCTCCAGATTATTATAATACCTCATGCACTGTAAACCCTATGTTGTTACACTCTCCTAGTCAGGAATGATAAGACGTCTCTACATGCTCAAGAGGGGCACACGTTTTTGTTCCTAGATATCTGTGGTCTGTGGTTGGTTGAGCCCGTGACTGTTGATGCTCAAATGATTACCAGGCAATCCTGCTGGCATTTGGGCTTCCTCTTACTCAGGAACATGGATTGTGGAGTCACCTGTCGTAATTCCCTCTCACAGATAGGGGAGCCAAGGCCCTGGAGAGCAGGACTGGCTTTTCTGGTTCTTACAAGCTTGATGTGGGACCACAGGAAAACTCTTGCCAGCTGCAGATGCCCCAGGAACCCTAGACCCCAAAGCTCTGGGAGGAGACCCCAGGAGCCAGCCCACGCCCACGCCCTGCCTGTCCTTCCCACCATTCCCTGCACTGTCTAACGAGACTGGTGCTACATATGCATTGGAGCCTTTTACACGTGAGAGCTGTTGGGTCTGAAGTCTGCTCCCAGGTCCTGGCTCTCCTCTGCCAGGTACATACCTGGATCCCAGACAGCCTCCCCGAGACCTGAAGTCCTCACCCCACTGGCTCTAATCTTCTAATACAGAGAAAACCAGGGGAGGTGGCTAAACTCTCCCAGGGAGAGTCCCGTCCCTGAATGTCTCCTGCCCAGTTCAATCCTTCAGTTCCTGCAGGTAAAGCAACTTCACTTCCCTCTAACTGTACCGCAGCACCCCAACCTGTGATCTGGGTACATGGACCCTCAGCCCTGCCCATCTCCGCCCATCCCTATCCATCTTCACCCATCGTATTTCTGGTTTTATAATTTTTAAGGGACATTCTCCTGTCAAACAGTCTAAATTGAATTTTCAGCCTTCCTGATCAACTCATTAAATTCTTCCAATAAAGCCGGGTTCTACGCCCTCTGGTTGAGGGCTTCCTGCTCAGGCCCCACAGTCACATACGCCCAGGGCACCCTACCATGTTCAGATCACTCAAGGCTGAAGGTGGCAACCTCAGAGGTGAGGGAACAGGGCTATCCAGTGAGGTTGCTTGGTCAGAGTTACATAGCCTGTGATAACTTCAAACCCAGGCATGGTACTCCCAAAGCCCCACGCTCAGCCTCTGTGTGTGGACCCAACTTGGAGATGATACTACATAAAGGACCTGTGAGAACCAAAGATATCTTCATCAAACACATACTGCTACATGAATATATGTATGTTTTGTGTGTGTATGTGTATGATGATTTGAATGAGAACGTCCCCTGTAGGCTCCAAGTATTTGGACATTTTGTCCTCAGTTGGTGGCCCCATTTTGGGAAGTCTTAAAGGTGTGGTCATGCTGGAGGGAGCAGGTCACTGGAGGCAGGCTTAGAGAGTTCTTAAGCCTGGCCAGATCTCCTGTTTCCTATACCTGCTTGAAGATGTGAGAGCTTAGCTCTGCTCCTCCTCCAGCCACCTCTGCTACCATGCCTCCTGCCATGACAGACTGTAATTCCCCTGGAACCGTAAGCTCAAATAAACTCTTCCTTCTATAAATTGCTTTGGTCAGTGTTTCTATCACAGCAACAGAAGAATGACTAATACAATGTATATATAATAGATCATGGACTCTCATGTCCACTGGATTTGCATATGTAGATTCAACCCCATATGTGTTACTCCCTAACAATATAATCTAACTATATTCATAGCATTTACATTGTATTAAGTATTGGAAATCACGCAGAGATGATTGAAAATGCACAAGGAGCTATGAATGGGAATGAGGAAAGCTTAGAACACACATTGAATCTTGAGATTTTGAAATATATATATTCTTTCACCCAGGGCGGTACTAGGGTTAGTAATGTATGAAACAGCCAGTGAGGGTGAGGTGACGCAGTGGTCTAGTGCATGTTAAGCCCTGGATTAACGATTAACATTCGTGGTTTAAATGAAGGGCTGGTCAGCTCCCCCAGTCTCCCCTCTTCAAGAGATGGCTGTTGGTCCCCATGCACAGCTGAGGCGTCACCTCAAGATACGAGAACTGATAGAAGAGGAAAAAAGCAGATTAACCCAGTGATCACTGGACACATGGCAATGCCTTGTAACTGTTATCCACAAAATCCTCTCTGATCCCAAGTTCAGAATAATTAAAATAATTTGATTCAATGAGCAGAAATTTAATGCAGATTTAGACCCAGAGTTGAAAGGCCAAGAGTTATTTATATACCTTGCCTCTAACTCATCGGGTGCTTAGCGAGCCTGATGCTTAATCACCAAGTTTTATTTATATTAGGGGATTAGGAGCTGACCAAAGCACTTCCCGTGCAGGGGCAGAAAATCTCCATGTGTGTTCATTCCTTAAATGAACTAGTGAGTTATGCAAAGACTCTACTGAGCAGAATCCAAGTATTTGAGCTGCTGTCTGAGAAGCTGCCATACAACATTCAGTTCACGCATAAAATAACAGCTCTAAAAACTTGGCTATTGAAAAAACTATATATGTGTCAAGTAGTCTTGTCTTCCTACATCCTGAAACAATTCCCACCCTAGAATACCTGCTTAGCACAGAATAGAAATGTGCCCTGCAGCTCAGGAAACTAATAGCATGACCTATATTTTCAACATTTATCAGGCCACTGGTAACACTGGCCTCATCCAGGGGGAAAAAAAAAAGGATGATGAACAGAATTAACTTGAAAAGAGTTCTGGCTTTGAATAGAAATTTTCCACATAGCGTGAACTCAGTGGGGAAGGGGGTTGTGGAAAGGATGACCTCTGCCCCACCGTCAGTGAGTGAGCTTCCACAGGCAGGAGCTACCTACTGGCCAGGCTAAGGCTTGGGAGGAGGGCTTATAGATAGCTGGACAGGGGTATGTGTGTGTGTGTGTGTGTGTACCAAACTGCCCCAGCTCCAGCATCTGGGCCAAGGGAAAACTTGCTCAGTATGATCCACAAGTATAGTTGCAAGAAACTTAAGAATAAAACTGAGATTCCTCAGAACTTATGTAAGGGGCTGGGTAATTTTCTGGAAAAGACTCATTAGCATTTAAATAACAAGCTGTACTTATTTAAGCTCCACTTATCAAGTCAATAGTGCCTAGAAGACATTTAGCCTCCTACCCGTGACACTGTTTTTCGATCTTGTGGAGGACTTCATGGAGAAAGAGCATTATCATTTACACCTTGTTTGTGCAGGGCTCTGACACTCTAACATAACTCATTTGCATTCTAATCAAGGCCAAAAGATATCTTCCAATAAAGCCTTCGGTGGAATTTCGCAAGTAAGTGATGAAATATGTCTAAAATAAAATGGATGCCCCAGAGAGCCTGCACTGGGTTTTTTGATGACCCAGGGAATCTTAAAATGTATTGATTTGGCCGTCCTCTGACTGCTCCTTACCCCACCCTCGAATGATGAATAGGTTCAAGTTCCAATAACTAAACACTTAGAGATGGGAAAATCTTGCACTTAAAGGAAAGTCACTTCCCTGCTGCCCACTGTCAGCCTCTCACCTTCCAATCAGAAACAAGCCACTGTCCTGTGGATGCCTTGCTAGAAACCCAGACAGCTGGCATCTGGCCACCGGCGAGCACAAAGACCCAAGGTTTAGTCTGTTTTTATCACCCGAGTTGCATTGTACATCTAGAAAGTGACCCCAGGCGGTATGAAATCCTGGGATTACTATTGAACGTATAGCTGGATATGAAGACGGACATTTGCCTGTACTTTGGAGAGACGGCCTCACTCATGGGAACATGTAAGGGAACAGGGCCCTTCTCTGGTAGAATTGCAGGAAAGGTGATGTGCTGGCCAATTCCAGGGTCCAACACTCTGCTGTTAGAACAGCCCTTTGTTCAGTTCACAGTGACTTGGGAGCAGTCGGCCCTGCTCACCTGCTGCGTTTGGCTCAGATTTACAGAAGCCAAAGGCCACCAGGCCCACATACACCAGCACACGAACCTTTGCACTTCTGTAGATGGTTGACACGTGCAATTCAAACAACATTTAACTGTTTGCTCTCCATATTACATAATCCAAGTCTTTTTCCTCCAAGTTTCCACAGTGTCTGTGAGAGATCTGTTAGCATATGCTAAAGGGGAAAGAGCATGTTGGGACAAAAAGAAGATATGGCCCTTTGACTCTGTGAGCTTCAGCCCTGCTAGCTGGATGCAAAGTTGCAATCGAAACAATGAGTCACTACAGAACTGCAGCAATTCTATAGACACTGATGTTTGTGTCCCAGGGCCGGGGTGACAAAGTACCGCGGACCAGGTGGATTGGAGAGAACAGAATTCATGCTCCCCCGGTTCTAGAGGCTGGAGATCCAAAATCATGATGTTCCCAAGGTCATGGCTATGGGAGGGCAGGGGACGAAGTTCCCTTGCCTGGTTCTAGCTTCTGGTGGCTTTCCAGACTAAGTTCTTTACTGTCCCTGTAGGGTGGTGATATTGTGATTCCTCATGATACCAGTCACAGAAGAATAGGGACCAATACCTATTCCAGACTGACCTCATCTCTGTTGATTATATCTGCAAGGTCTGTTTCTCAGTTTCGGAAGTCAAGATGAGCACATGAATTTTGGGGAGAGGAGGGGCTGGAGAGATGGCTCAGTGGTTAAGAGCGCTGACTGCACTTGCAGAGGACCTGGGTTCAGTTCCTAACACCTACACGATGGCTAACAACTGTCTGTAACTCCAGTTCCAGGGATTCAACACCTTCTACCTCCATGGGCACTGCACGACATTGGTGCACTCGCATGCATGCAGGCAATACACTCATACACATAATATTTTTTAATTTGAGGGGGACTGGATGGGACATACTTAAATCTTTACCTACACTAGTTGAATGGACTTCAGAAAAGAAGCCTCGTGCAGATACATTTGGTCAAGCACCCTTGCTTTCTGTTGATACTTAGAAAGTTTAAATGAGTATGTTTCAGGTCACAAAGATAAGAGCCACAAACAAGGCTCCATCCTAGAGCAAAGCTTCTAAACACAAATAATATGTCTGTCCCCTTACTTGATCTTTTAAATATGTAAATATCTAAGAACTTGGTAGACCATGAAAGAAAGGAAGAGGGCTTTGAACAGAAAACGCCAAGGAGGGCTTCCCAGGGGCTTGGCTGGGTGGGGAGAGCAGGGAGGAGAGCTAACAGCTGCTGTCAACACTGAAGACAGACACACATTACCCCTTGCTCTTTGCAGACCCTACCACCAGAAGGAATGTAAAGGCTGGGCCCACAGCAAGAAACCGGTATGCCAGCCAGTGGACCCTCAACAGACCCCACCCAACCATCTCAGCGCACACCCTCACCACGGACTGGAGACTGCCCACGCCCAGGGCTACGGGATCCGTGGACAAGGAGAGTGACAGCTACAGTGTCAGCCCGTCACAAGACACAGGTGGGGCCCAGCACGCGTCCTCCTCCTCTGCGAGACCAGTGAGACGCCTCCTCAGCCCTTGATCATATCAGGGTTTGGTGGGGTCTGTGTGGAGGGGAGAGGGGCTCTCCATCCTGCACTGATTCCCTTGTAAAGTTCACTTTTCAAATGTTACAATTTTCACTATGAGTTCCCAGGCAGGCCAGCTACACAGTGTTTTCTATGCACAAGGCCCACGGAGTTCTGTAAGAGAGAACCAAAGCCATCTCTTCTGCAGGTGTCTTGAATCCCCCCCCCGCCCCGTGCTCCTTTCATTCCCACCCCACTGAGAGAAACAGACCTTGTACAGACTCACCCACACAATGGCAGTAATTGCCGATTGCACTCGGAGGGCTTCTGACCCACACCCACCTCCAGGACTAAGATGATAAGGTCACAGCTTCCCCTATAGGGGACATAAGCTGATCCTTCTGACAATTAAACAAGTTGATTAGAAGGTAAGCCATCTAGTCAACGGTATCAGCCACCAAGACTTCACTTCAGAGAGAAGACAGGACCTAAGAATAGCAATGAATTGTCCCCCCATCCCCCTAAACTTTGAAAAGAAATTATATCTGAACCTAACAGCTGCAGGAAATTTAATACTCACTTTTCTTTTGTTCTTGATGATATACTTCAAAAACAGGGCTCCAAAGGTGGGGTGTCACTGTGGGAATTTATTTTTATGGCTGTTATTTCTTATAGAAGGTTCTCAGGGTTCCGCAGAGGTGACTTTAAAAACTTTTCTGTAGATTTAAAATACAGAGATGCCTTTGACAGAGACAACCTGACCTTGTTAGAAGGCCTGTTTATACCGTTTTTTTGCCCTGTTTTCTAGTTCCCATCAAGAGTAGTTACAGACAAGGATAAGTCCTAGGGATGGAAGACAGCCCCCTGCCCAGTGGCCAATTTCCATGCAAAATTATCTTTATCTCCTGTGTGTGTGTGTCCTTATACATGTGTACACATGGAGACCAGAGGTCAACACTGGGTGTCTTCCTCAATCACCCTCACCTTATTTATTTATTTTTTCTGGAGACAGGGTTCTGGTTGAACCTGGAGCTCACCAGTTCAGCTAAACTGGCTCACCAGCAAGCCCCAGGGATCCTCCTGTCTCCATCTCCTGGGTGCTGGGTTCACAGACATGCACCACCTCACCCACTTTACATGGGTGCTGGAGATCAAAGTCAAGTTCTTCATGCTTGCCTGACAGGCAGTTTGTTCACTGTGCCATTTCCCCAACCTCACATCTTCATTTCTAAGCATTGTCACATCATCCTTCCCAAGCTGAGGCCCCTGGAGCTGAACTGCGGAGGGAGCTCTAGTCATTCACGCTAATGACAGAGTCTCTACAGTGCAGATGCATTTGCAAAGCAGAACAGGGATGGGTGCTGTGGCCTTGGCAGTGCCTCCCCACTGGCCCCACCAGAAGCAGAATCCTTTACTTCTGAGGCTTTGCTTATTTATGGAAATGTCCAGGTCGCTGAGCACAGGCCCCTTGAGCTCACTTTTGTCGATGAGGCAAACCCTGATGAAGAACCAAACTCTCCTAGACCCCGTTATCCCAGAGCCTGAAAGGCCGTCCCCCTTGTGCAGACATAGACAAGTAAGCCTTGTTTACTGTCTTCTCTGGTCCAGACCGGGCAAGAAGCAGCATGGTCTCCACAGAAAGTGCTTCCTCCACATATGAAGAACTGGCCAGAGCCTACGAGCACGCCAAGATGGAAGAGCAGCTGAGACACGCCAAGTTCACCATCACAGAGTGCTTCATATCCGACACGTCCTCCGAGCAGCTGACGGCAGGGACAAACGAGTACACAGACAGTCTGACCTCCAGCACCCCTTCAGAATCGGGGATCTGCAGATTCACTGCGTCTCCCCCCAAACCTCAGGATGGAGGACGAGTGATGAACATGGCAGTTCCAAAGGCACATCGGCCAGGTGAGGACGCGGGCTGGGGACTGCTGCTTAGGAGCAGTGTTTCCTGGCTCACCTCTCTCTGCTACGAAAGCTCTTCCTGTATTCAGACTGGGTGGGTGTTCCGCTTATTGATTGCTTCAGAACAAATCACCCCAAGACTCGTTGCTGAAAATGATAACCATCATGTATTTATTGAGATTTGATCAGGCTCTAGTGAGGAGAGAAAGCAAGCGTGTGTGGTTCACTTCTAAAGTGGCTGTTCACGTGCAAGTCTACGCTGACTACGCCTTCCCAAGTAGGGCTCTCTGAAAGGTGGCCTGAGCTTCCTCCTAATGGGACAGTTTAGTTCTAAGTGCAAGGGCTCTAAACAACAGACAGTGGACATAAGCTATTTTCTTATATAGCCTGTTAACTATATTAGTCAGGTTACCATTCCCTAGACTGAGTATTTTATAAGGAAGAGAGGGTTTTGTGGTGTATTTTTTTTTAATTCTTATTTTAGCTCACAGTTCTGGAGGTTCACTGGGGTATGGTGCCAACATCAACTTGGGTCCATGAAAACCTCGTGGTGGGTGGCATTGTGGGGGGATGCATGAAAAAGACAAGCCCACATGGTGAGACAGGAAACACAGAATGTGGGAGGGGCTCTTTTGGACCATTTACCTCTTAAGAGACCCAACACAGAGTTCTATAACCACCTTTACTCCTCGATGAGGGCAGCATCCCAGTGACCCACTGACCTCCCACTGGGCCCCACCTCTTAAAAGCTCACCACCTCTCAATGTCACCACACTGGAGTCTGGGCCTCAGCACAGAAGTCCTTGGGAACACACTCAAGCCATATCTACGCACGGCATGACAGCACCTTCTACCATTCACTGTTGTCCAAGCAACCAGAGAGCCCAGGGAGCTTCAGGTTTGGGAGAAAGACATCCCCAACTGCTTGGTGAGGAGAGTCAACAGCGCAGGGGCGGAGTTTTAAGACTATTGTATTGAAGGATTTGGGAAAGAAAGAGACCTTAGCAGGAGCCAGTATTTAAGACTACCTTTGCTAAGTTACTTACTGGAGATGCTGGGAGCCGGAAAATTTAGGTTAGACACCAGTGTAACCTTCAGTTGACCTCATGTGAATAGTCCGGATTTGTGAGTGAGGCACAAACCACAGAGGATGAGGGCCGGGGGACAAAGCACAAGAGTCAAGTGTACAGTTGTTCAAAGGGAAAAAGACCAGCGACTTCTAGCCCCCTGACCTCGGGTAGAAATGGAGTCCTGGTCTGGGCTTGAGTGTGAACTGAAGGAGACATCTTAGTTTTCTCTGGAAACTCACAGTTATTAAGGGCTAGCTGTAGTGTTTACAAACTATGCCCAGCACAACTGAAACAAAGCTTCAGGCTGAGTCCACACAGCCGTGTGCAAAAGCCCACAGAAACGCCTTCCCTTCTCCCACCCTCACGGCCGCGCGGAGCCTTTCCCACACGGACCAGCCAGCGGTGCTGCACCTAGCACTTCACCTGCTTTCCTGAACCGCTTTACTGATTTTATTTCAAAAAGTTTGTTCTCCTTTGAATTAGGACAATTCCCTGGGGTTTTCTGGCATAGGCCCAGGTGAAATAAGGCCCTTACAGATTTATAAAAATATATAGAATAAGAATTGTCTATCCCGTCTTCCAAATGAACTCAGGATTCATAGCACATCCGATAAAGAATAAGAGATTCATTTGTTTTCATTCTGCCTGCCTCTGCAGGGGAGAGAAGGGACGCGCTGTGAGGCGTTTGATTTCATGGATTTTGTTGGTCTCTGGTGTTTATTTAAAGGCAAATGCAGATAAGACTGAGGTTAAACACGGTGGCTTTTTGACCTTGCTCATCATAAAGATGACAACAGCAGAGAGGGGAGATGGGCCAGGTGATGGATGCCACAGGGCTGAGTCATAGCATGTGTAGATGAGTGCAAAGCTGGAGCCAATGCACTGGGGCTTGGCATGACACATGCAGAGAGGCAGGTAGCAGAGAATGCAGGGTCCTATCAGCTCTGGTTTCTATAGAGTGGGGGGGGCTCCACACGTGTGTGTGCAGGGCCATCTTCCCTCCCGCTTGTCTCTTCAGTGGCTGTTGATGGTCCATACTTCATCTGTATGTCACCCGGCCTCCATCTTGCCTTCCAGTGTGAGCTAGGGCATGGAGTAAGCCAGCAGGTGGAGGGCTGCCCTATTCCTGCAGGCCTTTAAATCATCCTTGTGATGGCGCGCTGTCAGTATGGTTGGATTAAGGTTTTTTAAAAGTCTATACTTTGTTCATAACATTGTTACCCGGGTCCATTAGAGCAGTCGAAAAGATTACGACAAAGTGACTCTCATCTTAATGTATTATTTAGAGCAAAGTGATTTTATAACTTAAAATATGAATAATTTCTTAAATCAATGTGAATTCTGATGTCTAAAAACTTTGTTTTGTCTACCCCAGAAGGCGGAATTATTAGTGAATTTTTAATATGCTTTGACGAGAGATTCCACCCTCTGGAAGGCTTTCTGTTATCCCTTTTTTAATGCAGCTAAAGTCAACGTGGGGCACAGAATCAGCTCCGGAGGACCCCATTCCCAGTGTGAGGGCACTGGTCCGAAGGTGCTGTGACACTTGAGTCAGGCACATACAGCACAACACAAGGGCTTCCTGACAGAGGCCAGGTCCTGGGTAGCAGCAAGACCAGGAAGGCTTTTCTGATTGGAGTCAGGAAGATGGGGGCCTGTTGGTGGTCAGGTCAGAAGTGAGTTTATCCAGTCCTGAATACACCATGTGTATTGCATAAACAGGAGCTAGTGTCCCAGGGTCCAACACATGCTGGGAAAACCAAGCAGTTATCATGCCTAGAGTCAAGATGGCTACCATCTTGTTAGGCTGAATCCCTGCAAAACATGAGGTCGCTATATGGTCTGACTACAAGTTCTGCCTAAGTTAGCAGCTCTTTGAACCTTGGTTTTAAATGTTTTATTTATTTTTTATTTTATGTGTATGAATCTATTATTCGCACCCGTGTCGTGCAATGCCTGTGGGGTCAGAAGAGGGTGTCAGATCCTCTGGAACTGAGTTGCAGATAATTGTTAGCTGCCATGTGGGTGCCGGGAGCTAAACCCAGGTCCCCGGCAAGAGCAACCGCTGAGCTGTCTCTCCAGCCCCTGAGCCGTGGTTTTAAATGGCCTGTCCCTGAGTGCACTCCAGACTCTGCGTGAAATCAGTCATTTTCTGCTTCTGTTCACAGTCACCCAAACCTCTGGATCTCTCTCCTCACGTTAGCTCTTCCTTCATGATCTCTTTATCTCCTTGGCTTTTTTCGTTTGCCTTTCAGTACCAATAATTATGATTCCAAACTCTTAAATTCCCTGCAAATTTAGACAAGTTAATATATGAGCTTGACCAGATCTCAGCTCCAAGAAAGAAGGAAATGAGTCTGGGTTATCCTCATTCTTCTCTCCTGGAGTCTACAGATATCCAGTAGGCACATAGTCTCAAGAAATAGTTTTACATGAATTAACAGTATTAGACTATATACCTGGCTTTGTACCTGTGCATAGTATATACATTATAGATGCTGTTGAGCAGATGAATAAATAAGGAATGAATGAAAGTCATGACAAGAATGAACAATTGGCTAATATTTTAATTACCAGAAATACCTAGTCAAATAGAGTCAATACAAGATGACACTTAAGTTTGCCTCCTTTTCCAACATACTTTAAAGCAAAATGATATATTTTCTGGTTTTGCCCTTAAGAAATCCAAAGCTAATCTCTTCTGCAGATGAAGGACTCTCCCACGGACTATGGGTGGCTCGCTACAAGACAGGCATCAGAATCTAGCCTTAGATTTTATTATTGAAATTTTAGGACATGTGCACTCTAAGCAAATTATTAGAACGTGATTTTTTTTAAAATCATGGGTAGCTACTTCATCTTTTCAGAAAAGCCACAAACTCAAAAATCTGTGGCTCTGTCCAGCTGCTGGGAGGTTTAAGGCCACTCCACCCTTGGGCTGCCTCCTTCCTGGTCTCATGAGTATTTTGAGCCAGGCTCTGGTACTTTTGGAGTGCGACCTCTTTATTCATCATGTTTAGCCTGAGATAGACCACAGAAGCCATTTAAATCAACTCAGCGCTCCAAATACCACCCTCATTTGCTTGGCCCAGCAGCTCTGAGGAAACCAAGACCCTGGAGGTGTCTGCACCTGCACTCTCTTTAGCTGGCCCTGACGTCATCCAACCCAGCCCCCCAGCACAGCTGCCTTGGAGGTTTCCCAGCTGCTGAGTACCCTACTCCCTCAGCTTGTTGCTACTTAGTCCGCTGGATAAACAGCAATTTGAAGCAGTTGCTGGGTTATAATTTTAGGAGTCGTTTATCCCGTACATCACCCGCTCCTGGGTGTGTGAGTTTGAGCACTGAGAGCAGAGGGTGGGGCAGTACCCCAGGCCTACACAGGAGCTTGCATCAAGGACGACCTCTCCTCTACACAGGCCAGCACTGTTCTGACCTAGGCCATCACGAGCATGCCGCTTTCCCTCTCAGAAGTCACAGGGCTCTTATATCAGTTCCTTAATCTCCAAAAATCTTCAGTGGCAAGAGGTTGACACCCTAGTATCCACTCCCTGAGCCTCCCTCACACTGAGGGCTGCCATTCCACATTCCCCAGGTAAACCATCTGATCACTACTCCCCTGAAAGCCAAGGTTTCACATTTAAGTTCCCTCAGGCAACTGGGCCTCCTTACCACCCCTTCTCCTGTGGATAGCTAGAGACCCAAACACCAAGGTTCACATCCTCTTCCTTTCTAAGACTCAGCTTTGAAATTTAAGCCATGAATGATATCCCAATATCTATGAAAAGGGTCGCTTTTCAAGTGCAAATAGCTTTGATACCTATATGTTTGTGCGTACATGGACACACACACACACACACACACACACACACACCAACAGATGCATGGGAACATGCACACAAGCATCAGTATCCACATGCATGCACGGGCACGCAT